AATCGAACATCCTTTCAGTTTGTTTCGACAGAGAGACATTGCTATGTCACACGTGTTTGCTTCTCGTTTCTTTAGTTTTTTGTGGTATTGTACACTTGTAAAAATTGTGCCTATCTATTGGTTTCTCGAACGTAGATTTCACGCTACTGCGTACAGCCGCGTCTCGTTAAAAAGACTGTCTTGCGTTCTCGTTTCCGTTCGTTTTGTCACACTGTGAGCTTTGGTCTTGGCCTACTTTGATCTACTTCGAAAGCAAAAAAGAAACATCAAAATATTGAACATTCTATGAAAGAATATAAATCGTTAATCGACGTCGATTTTACACGATGCCCACGAATTGGTCACTGTGATAGAAGAAAAAGAGATTAAAAAAAAAAAAAGAGTACTGGAAAAAGTAACGAAAAACAAGAATCAGTGTTTTGTCCCAATTGTCGAATTCACGCGCGTTACGCGATTTTTAATTCGAAGAGGCGCGTTGAAGAACAATAAAAGAGAGCGAGATATACTTGTTAGTATCGAGCGTGTAGAGGTAGTTTGAGCACTGGTGGACTGTGGATGTGTTTTGTGCCGCAGATGTACATGCAGGAGCTCACCAAGCAGCGCGAGATGCTCTACACCGTCGAGCTGGTATGTCTCATACCCAATCTAGTTTAATTAAGAACGACTTCACTAAAACGGAACGAATCGAACTTCCATGAACTTTAAACTCGTCACCTTGGGAACCGAACCGATGTCCTTGTCGATTATTCACCTGACGGTCCGCCGATTAAAATGTGAATTGAGAAACGTGTCGATTCAAATCTGTGAAATTCCGTACCAGTTTCACCATAAATAAAGATAAATTTAACCAAAGATGATCAGTCGTTTCGACGATTTAATCGATCGATGGTCCGTGAAACGATCGACAACGAGATAGACAGGATAAAAGAAAAAGGAGCCTCCGCGGTTGACGAGTTCAAAGTTTAAACCACGTTCAATTTTGTGAATCACTCAAAAGTTGAGACTAATCTGCACACTCAGATTCGTCGTTTTCTCGTCGAAGATTTCCAATATCGATCTTCCACGAACAATCGACGCATATTTCGCAACACTAATTACCCTGCTTCTCGAGAGATCCACGTTCAACTAACCAGTCCCTCCGGTGACGATGTTTTAACGCACACGTTCGCGCGACCACCAGTCATTTATCGCATCTTAGGCGCTTTTTCTCGCTAAACATACTTCTACGTCTAACGTGTTTACAGTCATTCGAAAAAAGTAAACACTGTGTCGAACATCGAGCATCTCGTATGTGCACGGTGATCATTGGAACGAAAATCTATGTTGAATCCCGTTTCCAACAGCAGCCGAGACAACGAACACACGAGTATACGAATCTTGGGTGGTGAAACAGAAAAAGAAATAAATAAAAAACAGTTGCACGGTGTTTTTTTTTTTTTTTTTTCTGAACAAAACCAAAAGTCGAATTGCCGCTATCGGATATAAATGGGTAGCAGCACTTTTTTCTCGAACAGAGTATTTTTTCTTTGGATAACGGTCTCGTAGAGTTTGTCGTAGCCCGTGCGTGTCAAAGTTGTGCTTCTAACGAGTTATTCTATCAAGAGAATCCTTTGTGCATGGAACGTTGCAACCCCTTTTCTCTCGTTTCTTACCTTTCCTTAATAACCCTGCGCCGAATTGAACGCTCTAGGAGAGGGAACGAAGGAGACAGCACATGGCGTTGGTACGAGCATTGGAGAATCGTCGAAAGATGGAGGAAAGGGAGAAGAAGCGATTAGAGGCGAGAGCAGAGAGAATAGCGACGAAGGAGAAACGAGCTGAACAGAGAAAGATGGAGATGGAGCTGATCGAACAGATCAGAAAGCCTGTAGAGGACATGGAGCTAACGGGTAAGCCTTTTGTCGCGAGGCTTTGTGTTGAACGAGAGAGGCCCTGTGCAGGAGTTAGCTCTAGTGACACGGTATTTCTGTGGCCGTTTTCAGATCATAGACCACTGCCAGAATTGAAACGAATACCTGGACTAAAGCTGTCCGGCCAGGCGTTCGCTGATATCGTGATGGTGTTCGAGTTTCTGCATAATTTCGGCGAGACTTTAGGCTTTGGTGAGTTTCCTATTTATCGTTCTTCTGCTTTCGAGTATAATCCTTGCGGAAAGGATTATTGGCTTAAGATTCAAACCTCTGAGCCATCTGGTTTCCTGTTTACTCGGGGTTATCGACGAATTCCCTTTGAACGCGAAGCTTAGAAACGACAAGGAACCTCTCTCTTACGGTAATTTTCATCTTTTCAGACATGGAATCGCTACCAAGCCTCAAGAGCCTTCAATTAGCCCTGCTCAACGACGAAGAAGCGGAGGAAGAACTGTTATCCGTGATGACGCACCTGTTGGTATGTGCGATCGAGGATCCAGGTATTCCTCAGCCAGCGAGACACACGACCGGGTTGGGACAGAGCCTACGTCAGGCTGACATAACACACGCTAACATCAGCGAGGTGTTACGAATTTACCTGTACGCTAACGCGACAGGCGAGGTGAAAGCGTTAACTGGAGTGTGCCTGGAACGTGAACGCGACAAGAAGTTCGCTGATCATCATCAGAACGGTGGAGATTATGCCTCGACTTGTTCAGGAAAGAATGCTCAGTTTTACGAACATCTGCATAACAACGAGACGTGGAGAATGTCCGAGAGGTTGAGAGACAAGCCGTTTCTAGCTTTGAATCCGACGCACAAGGCACAGATGCTCGCGTTCCTCTGCAACGAGCTGTTGCAGAACAAGGCTGTGATCAGGCAGATCGAAGGAAGCTTGGAAACGGTGGCTCAGCTGAGGAAGGAGAGATTTGTGTTGGATACGAAGATCAGGAAGTGAGTTATTCTCTGTGAATGGTTGGTACTTGGGTTGGGTAATATTTAGGAAGAGATTGATTGATTTCTTTCATTTTTCTGGAGGCTGAGACAACTGCACAGTCGTAAAGTGCGAATGGAAGCGGTTGGAGTGATCGTTAACAAGACAGGAGACACGATTACCATCGAGAAGAAAGAAGTGGACGAGGAGGGTAATACAACGTCGACGGCGGTAGGAACGACGCCTACACCCGATGAGATTCACCACGAGGACGAAGTCGAGGATATGTCTGAGAACGAGAGCGAAGGAACTCAGCCTGAAGAGGTAAATTGTATTCTTCGAAGTATATTAGTTATTTTATTTGTAGGTTTGCTTTAATTTGTTGTGCATATGATTCAGGAGGAAGATAAAAATTTGTCTGGTGAAGAACTTGGTAAAAAATTGGATAAATTGTTGAAACAGTCAGAGGAGCAGCTGCAGAAATTGAACAGCTCGTCGAAACAGCTGAGAGCACACATATTTGGACAGGACAGGTACTGGAGACGATACTGGGAACTGGCGTGTGCGGGTGGCATCTTCATCGAGGCAATGGAAAGCGCTGAACCGGAGATTATAGAGCTGCAGGCTGAATTGGACGAAAAGTACAAAAACATACCGGTGGAGGAGAAGCCAGAGACGAAGCAGGAGGACATCAAAGTGGAGAATCGGGAGAACGAGGCTCCGAATGATATGAAAGATGAGAAGAAATATAATTCGAACGAGCAGGACGACGACGTGAAGCCTATTATGATGGAGAAAATGAAATCTGAGATTGACGATGTTAATTGTAAGAAGGAACCTATGCAGAATTGCGAGAATTCAACGAATATAAAGGAGGAGAAGAAGAACGATATGGATGGATCGATGACTGACGCGAAAACCAACGTCACGTCTGAAGAGATTAAACAAGAGACAGAAGTAATTAGTATGGACGTAGATGTAAAGGAAGAAACGAAGAAAGAGCACGAAGAGATGGACGAGGATATGAAGCCAACGGTGAAGATGATGGAGGATAAAATTGTCGAGACGATTCCAAATGGTGACAAGTACAACCATGTTAACAATCTTCATAACGGCAAGGAACTGAACGGCACCTTTATTTCCAGTAAGTTTTTCTCTTTTTATTTTCAATTTACAGATGTATATATGTACATAGGTATGTCATGGATGTATGTAGATATAATAATTGCAGATAACAGCAACGAATCCAACTGGTTCTCAATTCTGCCACGCGAAACCTGCGACACTCCGGGACCCAGTACCAAACAGATATTTGGAATAGCTGAACCGACTGAGCTGAGAATACCAGTGTTCCCTCCGCCAGCTAGTCCAAGTTATGACAGGTGTGACAGTCCTGCTCCTTTGATTTTGACTCAGGACGAGGCAGCGCAACTCGAGTATCTAAAAGTACATGGTCTACCACCACCTGGAGAAGCCAAACCAGTACCAAACGGTAAGTAATTGATCCATCAAGTGTAATTGTCGAGTTATACCATGTCAAAGATTACCAATGTATTCTGTTATCCATATTTAGACTTGAGATACGGTTGGTGGAGAATAACGGACATCGACACGTTTCAAGAACTGTTGGAGCATCTTCATTCCCGCGGCGTTCGCGAGAAAGAACTGAAACGAACAACGTGGGCGACCATGGAGTCCTTTCTAGCTGTCACAGGCAAAATTAACGTAGATCCCGGCAACCTTACCGCTACCGAGCTTCAAGCAACACCCGACGAACCTGATACACCGATTCCAAAACCAGACAATCCAGAAATTTGGAGCGAACAAGTTGCGTTACGCGTGGACGCGCAACTGTTGGAACAGGTCGAAGCTCTTGAAGATAAGGTCGCTAATGCCAGCATGCAGGTCAAAGGCTGGAAGCTACCTCCACGGGCGGGAACCGAGGAGGCTGAGGAAATTGAGAAGTTGAACGAAATGGAGAAGATCAGCGCGGTTGAACAAGCACGACAGAGGTTACTTTCTTTGGAAGCTGCTATAGAGAGGAGATACTTGAAACCACCATTAGGCGTTTGGTAAAATTATCTATCCTACAATGTTACTTCTTCAAAAATGACGAGTTTCAACTTGAATATCGCGTATATTTATTTGCTTATTTTTTAAACCACAGCACGGGAGATCCTAATTTGGCGGCCTTAAAGGCAGAACAAGCGGCGGCTGCAAACGCGAACTCGAATAATTCGGATCAGAGCAATCAGACTCCGGTACCTCAAGAAGAAACAACACCAAGAGGGCTGAACAACTGGCGCGATGCAACAGCCCGTGCACACACATCTGCTCAGCTCGCCATGGCGCTTTATATGTTGGAGGCCAGCATCGCGTGGGACAAGAGCATCATGAAGGCTGTGAGTCTAACACCAGCTAGAAACTCGGTCTGCGTCAAGCTACGAAACCGCTGCGTCTCACTCAAAGCTACCACTCAGTACAATCAGCTATTGACTACTTCTCAGGCCTCTGTGGGTATTCGCACTAACTTACTAACCAAAGTATCCTCTTACATCCTGCGTGACTTTCTTATGTCCCTCCTTGCACAGTAAACCACAGAGAGCATATCGCTTTCGATGATGATCGGTAATTAGAAGGTTTAATAATCAAACGAAATGCTCTTCGCGTGGCACTTTCCATCACATACTTACATCTAATATTGTGTAACAACATGTGTAAGAATTCAGTGAGATTTTTACGAGTGCGAATAATGCGGCAGCCATAGTTGTGAATTAACGAACAATAATACATGGATAAAATCATTCATTTGATATAGTCTGTGTTAGTTGACATTACAGCGAACTCTTTCTTAAAATACTCCTTAACAAATTGCTGCAACTTTAATGACAAACTAACATATTGATGGGTGTTTAATGGTGGTTAGAGTTTAACGTAACGGTAGCATGCAAGAAAATATGCCGCTTATCGTCTACTAATTTTTTTCCTTTAATGCTTCATATTTTTCCTTTCGTAGAGTTGCTTTCACGTTTAATTTACTATAATCGTTTTTATATTATATGTATGCTCCAAGCAAACGAGATATCTGTACTACTCCAATGCTACTTTGTGCAAGTTTTCATTTCACCCTGATCCAACTTCAACATATCCAAATTTAATTATACGTTTAAACCGTGACGATCGGTATGCACGACAAAACGAAATTGAATTTGAAATGCGTTTGCGCTAATTCCATTAATTAAATACTCCTCGACGTTGGCTTATACTTATTTATTATACATATTCTTTGCTGATTAACGTTTCTTGCATCGATGGTTTTTAGTTTCAAACGCTTGAATAAACGCTGAAATACTAAAATCGATTCACGTCGAACAATTTACGTTTTCCCACTTTAAATCGGACAGTTTTCTCTTTCTGTTACAGAATTGTCAGTTCTGTCACAGCGGAGATAACGAAGATAAACTGCTACTGTGTGATGGTTGTGACCGCGGCTATCATACTTATTGTTTCCGTCCAAAAATGGAAAACATTCCTGATGGTGACTGGTAAGCAAATTATATCTTGAGTGAATGACAAATGGAGAAAGTACTATTTACGATTAAACGATCCTAAATTCTTCAGGTATTGTCACGAATGCATGAACAAAGCAACAGGGGAACGAAACTGTTTGGTATGTGGAAAGAGGGTTGGTAAAAACTTAGTGCTATGCGAACTCTGCCCACGGGCTTATCACACTGACTGCCACAATCCAGTTATGTCAAAAGTAAGTAATACTTTCGTATCGATTCTATAGTCTATAGGTTTTTACGGAGCCTCGTCTGAACGTCGTAAAATAAATCTGCTTGATTCACTCATGTACCTCATAATTTCAGATGCCAAGGGGAAAATGGTATTGTTCTAATTGCCACAGTAAACAACCAAAGAAGAGAAATAGTAGTCGAAGGAGTCATACCAAAGGGGGAGGCACCAGAGAAAGTGAAAGTTCTGATCATCCACCAGCTAGGTGATTACGTTAAAACAAAACCAAACATTGTCAACTCGCTGATTTAACAACGTTTCATACGAAGTATATAGTAGGGAAAAAAACAGCTACGAAACCATATGACTCGATATAATAATAATAATATAATACAATAATAATAATAATAATATGAATAATAATAATAATAATAACGTTCAGCGAACGCAAACGATGAACGAACAATTTCCGAATCGAATAAGAAAGAAAAAAATACCGTTTGAAAAACGAACGAACGTATGAAAGCATACACTGCTCTCTATGCGATTATACCGACTTACATCCTCGGCCCGTATATCCTCGTTACATGCTCGTCGAAACTAACTGTTGTAAGGAAGTATTTTACTTCATACAGGGTGTTCCACGATAGGCCAACCGTTAGTCAATGCTCTTCTATCTACTCTTTAAAAAAGCAATCGTCGATTAGGTAGGTTTCTCTTTCGTTCGTGCGATGATATTCCGTATACCCTGTGAATAATGATATCGTGTCAGGTCCCTTCTCGTCGGGGGACACCCTGTACGTTCGTACAGCGTGTTACGATCATCGACTATGGGATGGGTATTTTCTCAGAAAATTCGTCGTAACGGTGTAGAACTGTCTTCAGGTTCTATGATAACTCGAAAATGTATATATATATATATCAAAGTAAACCATATAAAAGGGCAAAAAACGGCGAGAGAGAAATAAAAAGCGAGGCCAAAACTAAAACGAAAGACAAAGAGTCAGAAAGACGAAATGTTCCATCGAGAACAACGTACCCGTCTCAAGCAGAAAAACACGCTCGAGTTTTAATGCATTCGTCCAGAAGCTTTTATGACGGAAAAACCTCCTGCAAACGAGAAAGCTAATCGTGCAAATAATTTCTGTTGTTTTGCGTCGCAGTCCAACGCCGTCAACGGCATCGAACACGCACGTAGAGGACGTCAGTTCGTCGGAACCGGCAACCCCGACTGCCTCGCCAAGGAAGGAGGGAAACAATAGGACGCTCACGAAGAAACAGCAACGAGAGTTGGCTCCTTGTAAGGTGCTACTCGAACAGTTGGAGCAACAGGACGAGGCCTGGCCGTTCCTCTTGCCGGTGAACACCAAACAGTTTCCAACCTACAAGAAAATTATTAAAACACCCATGGATCTCAGTACGATCAAGAAGAAATTGCAGGACTCCGTGTAAGTTACACGCGTACGCAACGACTACTAGTTAATTGAACGTACTCTCTAATT